GGCTGACCTTGAGGTGGCCCTGGACTGCTTGTGTAGTGCTCGGCTTCGTGTTGGAAGCTGCTTCAGTTCTTCAGCTTTTTTTGAGGCTCCTTTCTGTGAGGCACATCCCAATCGACTGACCAAAAAAACACTGTGTTTCTTGCAGCAGGAGAGCTAGGATGCAGCAGACACTGCTGGGATACATTGGCAACACAGCTGGCCAATAAAAAAACCTGTGTAGTTGGATCTTCCAAGCCAATTGGAGCTCTTTGGAAGGCAGAAGCTGCTTTCCTGGCCTGTGTGCCAGCAGGTCCCTGGGTGTGAGAAGGGGTTGCTTCAGGGGTTACCTGCCTTTCCTCAGCACGCGAGTGCTGCAGCGACATGGGGGCTTCTGGTAGCAACTCGTGGGCTAATATGGAGACAAAGTGATTTTAGAAGGGATTTCTCTTTTGCCACAAATTTTATAGGTGAGTTTTGGTCCCAGGGAGCTTGCAGTTGCAGAAATGTCCGGGTTTGATAGAAGTTATAGCGATGAATTCAGAACAGTGCTTGCATGCACGGGTGGTTCTGTCAGCACTTATCATGCAGGCAGGGCACTAGTTTTGACAGTCAAGTTAAGCAGCAAGTTAGGTGCATATTTTGGGCCATGACCTAATTCTTATCAGGGAAGGAAGATTTGTTTCCTTTTCTATTTGAGAAGATTTGTTTCACGGATCGGTTTTAAAAAGCCTGTAAAGCCAGGTCACCTTTCAACTTGTGCTGGGGAGGGGAAGAAAAAGAAGAAAAACATGGTCATTAAGTTCCTCCTCCTCTAGTAAAAAGAGACCTTACAATATTTTTAAGTTTCCATCTGTAAAATATGAAACCAGCTTCTGCATATCCCTTGGTAGTCTGATTTCCAGCCAGAGGAAGGCAGACAGCCTGCTCCTGGGCACAGAATATGGGTGTTCGTAGGCTCTCGTGTGTCCAGACAGGCCTCTGTGCCAAGGAGGGCTAAGGAGATGAATACTCCTCAAATAATGCTGTAATGTGTCATTGCGAGCAGCGTGGCACAGGTGAAATGGGAGTTTGTTCACACAGTTTTACTGACTGGTCATGTTTCCTTTGGTCAGGATGGAAAGCTGAAAATCCGGGAAGAAAATGCTAAACAGAAACAGCTATCAAGAGAGGAGAACAGTGTTTTACCACACAAGTATGAAAGAAATCGTTATATTCTGTTTTTCCCTTTTCTCTTGTTCAAAGTCTTGCTTGCCTTCTCTCTAACTTCTTTGCTAAGGGTTGAGAAGTTTGGAATAATGATTTTTTTCCTGCCTAAGAAAAATTTCCAGGTTTGTGCCTATTGCTTAGGCCTCTTCAGTTTTTGCTTTGTGTGTTCATAGCTCTCCAAGGAAAGAATCTTTTTGCTCTGCTGCTTGTGTTTGAGCTCAGTGTTTTGATCTCTACACTTGCTTTAATGAAAATTTAGGGGCTTTCCTGTTTTTGCTTCTCTAAGGAAGAGTCTGTACAAGAATAAATGCTAAAGGGGAGGAAGACCTACTTCAAATAGCATCTCAAGACTATGACTGTAAAAAGGCAGAGCTAATACCTCTATATTAGAGCATATATCTAAACTGAATTTTACAGAAAACCATGTCTCTACTAAGATTGCTTTAGATTTTGAAAGTTAAGCTTAAGATGAGTATTTCATGTGAGGAAATGTTTTCAGAATATGGAGAACAGCTCTATCATGAGGTGGTTGTTCAGAGAGGGCAAGGAGCATTTGAAGTGCTTTCTGAATGTCACCAGGGGAAAAAATGCAGCGCTGTAACACAGTGTGCTGAATGCCAGTGTAGAAGTGATCAGCAGAGTGTTGTCTTACAAATAGCATAAGCTCAATTCACATTTGCTTAGTCCCTCCCTGTTTCACAGTGACTGCAGAACTGTCATAGGTCTTTCCTGAAGTCTGGAAGGTTTCATGACTTAATCTTTTCACAGAAGATCTAGGGGATAAATATTCAGTGGCATTTTTTTTAAAGAAAAAAAAATCTTTAAAATGTCTGTACTATCTAAATATTTTCCCCAGACTCTGGCTTCCTTTTTTCCTGCTTTTCTGTCATCATTTCACAATTGTTTTCCTGCTTCTCCAGTTTAGCTGAGTGCCATGTGTCTAAGCGGGTTACATTGGTTGTGTGGGATGCCACGCAGGCCTCTTGGCTCTGATGTCTGATGAGGCTTGTGACGGTTTCCTCTCCATCATGCAAGCGATGCTGGTGGTGTGGTTTTGAAGAAATAAAACCAGAAATCAGTATGGGTAGGATTTAAAAAATAGCCCGAGGGAGTCCTGATGCTCCGGAAGTGTGTTTGTTTTTTAATGTGGGGGTTTAAATGAGCGGTAGCTCCAAGTGACAGTGCTCTTCTCTTGTAGGTTACAGAGTGGCTTGCAGGACGAGCAGGTTAGTGATATGTTCCTTGCTTTGAAATGCTGATTTGCAAATGTATGGAGGGAGCTCATGGACTACTGCAGCACCTTCACTGGCCCATGTACCCTCAAGTTTATCCTTTGGGTTTTGCTGTCAGGAGGATTTGTCTGTAGAGTCTATAGCAGCCATCATCCCCTGGAGGACAGGCACTGCTTATCTCAGTAGAAAAGCTTTTGGTTGGCAGTGCTCACCTACTTGAGGTCATTTTGCACCCTCGGCACAACTACTGCTTCTGTCATTGATCCTGTGGGCTGTGTGATGTGACATCAAAGAGGAGGGATTTAAGATGAGAAACACAAGAATGGGAAGTACCTGCCCTGCTATGGGATGAGGATCATCTGTAGGGCCCTGTTGTAGGTGCCATGTAAGGTTGACCAGAATGTCTACTCTCCTTATCCTGAGGGTAGGAGCAGCTGTCAGCACCAGGAGATGCCCAGCTCTGCCAACTCTGCCAGGAGGAAAGCAGCCGAAGCAAGAAAAAGGTGAGTCTTAAGGCTGGTACGTTCAGCCGTGTGGCGAATGTACACGTGTCCCCTCGTTTTCCTTTTGCAAGAGATGACAAATAGATGACACATCTCCTGGTGACCTGGGGCCAAGAAACCACCCCTTCTCTGATGCTTGCTCTGCTGTTAAGACAAATGTGCTAAATGTCAGAGCTTCGAGGGACCCCAGGTTCCTGGGTGCTTGGCTTTTCCTTCCTGTTTCCAGTTTCCTCTCTGCCCTTTCTAACTAAGTGGTTTTGCCTGGAGCTGAGCAGCAGTGAGAACAGCAGGGTGTTGAAGCCTGTTGTGTCTCCACAGGAACTGTAATGGCTCCTTCTCACAAATGTCACATTTAGTTTTGGGCCCCCTTGTGGAGTAACAGAACACCTTGTGTTGGGCGGCTCTGCTGCCTTCGGGCCTCCCCTCTGCTGACTCTGCAGAGCAGGAGGAAGTTCTACAAAAACGAAGACTCCTAAGGGGGGACCTCGCCTGCTGCAATAGGGCTGCGCTCAGACAGAAGGGTGACGAGGGGCTGGCACGTTGCCCCCGCCGCGCTTGGGTTAAGGACGTGCTCTTGACCTTTGTTGTGCTCCGTTTCAGAACGTCTGCAAGAACTGCGGTGGCGTCTTCTGCGCAGCTTGTTCAGCCCACGAACTGCCGCTGCCATCCAGCATCAACCCCGAGCGCGTGTGCAACCCGTGCCACAGGCGCCTCATCCAGCAGTACTCGAGCAGCCCCTTGTAGGGCGCGTGCCGTGGGCGCCGGCACCGGCAGCTTCCCTAGCTCCTGTTGGCCTCGGAAGCGTTCCGAGGGGACGTGAGGAGAAGCCGCTGTCCTGCGCCCTGCGGGTCATGGGAGAGGCTGCTTACGGTGTTCACAGTTTCTTGTGAAGAAAGATGGACAGCCTGAAGCCTTCCTACTTGGGAAGGCCACCTGCTTCCTGGCCTCAGCCTGGCTGGGGGACCGGCTCAGGGAGCTGCATGCAGGGTGCCCTGAGATTGGGCACCGCAGGAGCCGTGAGCCTGCAAGCACAGTGGCTGCGTGCACGGGTCAGGGCAGCCTCTTCCTCAGCTCTGCTGCTTCACGACGTGCTCACTGAAAGCACCATGGGAGGGGTCCTGAAACTCCGTGTGTGGCTGCACTTCGGAAATACCATTTCCATGTTCCCTGCTGCCTTTGGCAATCTGGCTCAACCCTGTTAGTTCAGTGCCAGGCCTGAGAGGCTCGGGTAATACACCAGCCAAGTGTAGTTCAATTCTTGGGCCATGGTTTTGCTGTGCACATCAGTATCAAAAGCAAAAAGGTGGGGGGTAGGGAGGCAGACTAAAAGCCCTAAAAGTCCTTAAGTGTTTTAGGGAGTTGGGGAGTGGTGGTATTGTTCTTATCTGAGGCATGCATTGCATGATGTGAGAACTCACCTGCACTGCTCTGTTCCTCACAGCAGGCACGGAAGTGCCTTAAGGCATCTCTGTCCTTTCTATCGGAGACGTTCACTGTGACTTGGCTGCAGGATGGTGGCCAAACCAAAGGGCTGCAGCTCTACTTTCTTTCTCGATATAGTAACTGGAGGAATTTGATTTCCAAGTCCTTAGACGCACAACACTACTCCCTAACTACACAGGATGTTCAGGGCCATGTCTGGGCACTCTTCCCCCTTGTGCACATGAGAGTGGCTGTAATGAATCTGGTATTTCTTGCTGTATTTTGTTAGGTTAAGGTGAAGCTGGGATGAGGTCTGGATGTTTTTCACTTATTAGAAATTCTTATCTCAAACACAGTTGAAAGGGGCTTTACAGTTCATGCTGCATCTTTTTTTTTTTTTTTTTTTGCTGTTATCATAAGGAATTGTGTTTTACTCCAAGAAGTGGTGGCTTCCTCATAAAGCATATAGCAGGTGAGAGTTGGTTTGCTCTGTTTGACACTGGAAGCCCACTGGAGTCTTCAGTATGCTGTAGCAAACTGATAGGATGTGGCGCTTAGATTCACTTGGTGTTGTACAAGTTGTGTTAGAGGGCAGTGATTTAATCTTTCAAAAGGGATTTTCCAGTCATTAGAGTGGCTGGAGCTGCATGGAAAAGCTCGTTAGAGTGGAGGGTGGTTACAGCAGGTGATGCTGGAGTTGGTAGCAGGAGCTGGTGTCTTCCAGTTCCCTGCTGGCCTTGGTGTTTTCTGCCACACAAGTCCTTTCTGCCTCTACGTGCCCTTGAGAGGGGTGTTTCAGAGGAGGGGGCTTGTAATTCTTTTCCCTATTCTGCTCTTTTTTCCTTCATGGTGATAGTTGCTACCTGGATTTTTTTGTTGCAGTCTCTTAAATTAGACCAGAAGCAGGAAATAGCTTTAAAAAATAAAAAGCCTAGAATACAAGTGCAGGCAGACACTGATTTAAAGGGTTCAATACCATAGATGAATGGAGATGGTGCTGAATTAATTGGTAAGAAGCAGTACCTTGGCGTACGTATTGTACACGTTTATGGGGGTATTCAAATTCCTGTACCTGAAAACCAATGCGACTTCTCTCCCAGGGAAATTCTGACTCGAGCAGTTTGAGTGCTGGAAGGTTAAACTGGAAAGCTGGCCTGTCCCTGCTGGGACGTGTGTGCAGCATTGCAGCCCGCGTGCTGCAGCTTATTGGTGCCCGACTGCTGCTTCTCACCGTCCCCAGGGAGCAACCACCGCTCTGCTTGCTGGAGGCAAAGGGCTGTCTTCAACTGATGAAGCAGGACAGGGTTTTAGCAGCTCCTTTGAAGTCATCTTCAAAGAGGTGCCTGGAGACCCCCGAGGACACAGCTCTGGCTGGTGACACTTAGAAAGGTCAGAGCGTGATGCATGTTGGCAGGGTCAGCGCTTGCCTCTTCCCTGCTAGAGCAGATGTTGGGGAAGGTCCCTACTCTTCTGCAAGTGCTAGGTATTATGTGCAGCTTGGTGATGCTGCAAATGTTCAAGGTGTTTGCTCAGGTCATGCTTGCAAAGCTACTTGGTGGAGTTGCACCTGAACGCTTGGACGGGGGAGAGCGGAAGGCAGTTTTCTTGTGTTCATTTTGTTCCATGCAATAAATTTTCTCATGAGTATCTTGTATCCTGCGCACTCTTTTTTGGAAGGGCCTGTATTATTGTGGACATCTTCCACAACGTCTAACAGCTGCACAAATGCTTGCACAGCACGAGAGCAGAGTGGTAAGAGGGGCAAGGTTTAGCTATCAAATACAGTGAGTTAGGATCTTCCCTCACTTTCATTTAGAAAGTGCCAGTGCTGTTCTTGTGTTCATGTTGTGTATGCTGTAACTCAGCACTTAATTTGCTATCATGTCTCCTGCTCAGAGGTACCATCTGCCCCCAAATCATGTTACTGCGACTGCCTTTTACCACAAACACAGCCATGAGCAGCTGCAGGTGCCATCTGCCAAGTGGCCGCCAGCTCAAGGAACGACTTTTTCTACCTTTTGAAAGGGATGACTTATGCAGAGTATACCAAGGCAATTTATTACATGCTTTTACACAAATCCAAACTAAATTATTTTATACAGTTTATCCTTGCCACGGAGCAGTAACACTTGTATGTCCTCTTCATGTGATAAGCATAGAACGTGCTTGCTGTGGCCTAAAAAGAAAGGAGAGGAAAAAAATCTTTTTACTCCTTCACTGCACTTTTTTTTATTAGTTAGCTTTTTTAAATATACCTTTGCCTGCTACTGTAAACCATTGTTTCCAGTAATGGAAAGTAGAAGCTGGCACTATTAAAAGATCTCACCAACAGTGGTAGAAAGGTATAAACAGCCTCTGCTAGAAAAAAAAAAGCCACCTAATACATTGGTGTGATTCTTAAGAGTTGTAGTAGTGGGGGAATTAAATTAAAAAAAAAAAAAAAAAGGGGGGGGGGGGGGGCAGGGGAAGACTGTCCCAGTTGGTCAACCTTGCCCATAAGTGTAAGCAGCCTTTCTCCCTGCCTGCAAAAGCAGTTACTGTCAAGTGTCTGGGTGCAGAAAATGCTACCTCCTTCTTCACCAAAGCTTCCCTGCCATGGGCTACGGTCACATAAGCACTTTTGTGGAAACCAGAACCCTGAGCCTTTTTAGAAAACAAACCAGACCCGACTTGTGCGTGTTCCAGACTGCCTCCGGGGCAGGAGTTGAAATTTTGGTGGTGTGCTGCAAAGTCAGGGCTAGTGCAGCTTACCCCTTAGGCCTGACACTACCCTGATGCCCACCTCTAAAGCACGAGGAGGATCAGCTTGAGATTTTTTTTTTTAATGCATCTTAAAGACTGCAATATAAAAAATAAAAGAAAGGGACGCACTTACCAAATCTGCTCCTGTTCCACTGTCATTAGCAATCTTCTGGGTGCTTGTTCAGGAATAACTTGATGGAGCTGCACTCTGGGGAATAAGTTGGGAGAGGTCAGTTTGTGTGGGATTACTCATTATACTACATGTTCTTCTCTCCAGTTTAACATAGAGAGGAACTTGCCCTTCCCCTGTTAAAATGGTCCTGCTGGGCAGCACGTTACCATGGGATAGGGACGATGTGCTAGGTGGGAAGCAGCTGAGGCTCCAAGGCCTTAACACAGTTTTCACTTACGGGCACTTGACTCCTGCTTGGCCATTGCTGCCACTGCTGCCTCCTGGCTCTCAAAGTGGACGTCTGCTTCACCCGTGGCTTCTCCATGTGAGTTGTATTCTACCAGGACCCTTGTGGGCTTCAAGGGAGCAAAAAACTGAAAGGGAAGGAGAAGGGAAAGAAGTTTGAAAAGGGGGATCCCAACAGGGTGAGGTGGGTGAGCAGCCTTGCCCTTGATGCAACTACAGAAACAGCAGGCTCCAACTGAGGCCGTCCACAGGGCTGAAAATCAGCAACTTGTGGATCCAGGGACACCTGGGGAAGTTGGTTATTAGTGTGGTTACTTTTTACACAAATGTGTGTGCAACTTCAGGGCCCAGCACAGAGCAGCATCCTGCCACCTCCTGCAGCCCTGTCTGGGGGAGGCTGAGGCACATGCGAGCCCCTGTCCTGCTCTGCACTGCATCCCCCAGCGGGGCAGGGACAGGAACAAACGTCCTCACCCAGCACCCACGGCCTGTGCGATAAACAAAGGCACCGACTGTACACACTGCCATTCTGTGACTGTGGAGGCTATGAAAACCAAGTACATTTGATATTAAAAAGACTGTGAAATTGATTTTGGTTGTGGTCAATTCTGGAGTTTTGTTTTTTTTTTGTGGTGAATTCTGTAATCTCTCTTAAGTTGTCAGACAGGAGCTCAGCTGAGAGTAATGGATATTCCTGACACCCAACAAGCTCTTCTCCATCCTTGTTTGCAAAGGCAGGAGAGGCAACACTGAGCCCCAGAGACCCTGCGAGCTCCCGTCCCCAGGGCTCACAGTGACCCAGGGAGCTGCTGACCCTGGGGGCAGCTGAAGTTCCCCCATGCAGCCAGCCTGAAGCAGCCAGCACTGAGGACTGACACAGGCAGGGAGGAGTTACAAATTTTAAGCTACTTGCTTTGTCATGATTAATCAGTGAATGTTGGTACTGACAGCCACCACCGTTCACCCTCTCACTGCTACTCACGTTGATCAGGTCCTGGGCACTAGCTTCAGTAGGGAAACCCCTCACGTGGACAAAATGCTGCGAGGCCGAGGCCTCCCCAGCTTCTGACGCGGACCTTTCTGTATCTTCTCCGTACAAACCTGTCGAAGCAGCAAAAGCACCGTGAGCACTGCAAGCATCGAGCCCTCGGGTGAGGGCTGCAGAAACGCAGGGCTGTGCCTGCACGTGCGGCGAGGGTAGCAGGAAGGTGCCTCAGAGAAGGCAGGTAACTCACTGGTCTCTCTCTGGGCACTGCAGCCTCCCATGTAACTTAGCCCTCCTTCTTCTCCAAGGACGGAATTGTGTTCTCTGCGCGCTCTGGCGTAAGGCGACGTCG